AGAAGATATATCTAACAGCTTATTTTTTTAAATATATATATGTATATATAAATAACCAAGACCTAATAACGGAAACACAAAAAAAGGTCCCCATCCACCCAATCCCACCCTCCTCCCCTTCAAAAAAAAAAACCAAACCAAACCAAAAAATCAAAACAAAAAAACAAAACAAAACAAAAACTTTATAAAAATATCTTGCAGTAAATTTTAAAGTTTACAGTAGCTTCGTGATTAAGTCTCCCATTGCCCTGACTCCACCTTGTCTTGCTCTGATGAACTAAGTGCCAGTGATTTTGCACACACACACACACAGGAAATAAAACCCAATATAAGTCTCTTTTCTTCCTCTTCTTCGTCTTCTTTTTGTTGTTTTTTCCTTTTTTTTTCTTTTTTTCTTTTTTTTTAAGAAAAAAATCACCCAAGCCAACAAATGAAACTGGTAACTGAAAGAAATAATAATACTGATATCAATGCAGCACTAGCAACACAACAATTGCCTCTAAATGCAGGGTGTGGTGGAGGATCCAGCTGGTCGAAGAAGGTCCCAGCGCGGTGGCACAGTGGCAGGGAGTTGACAGGTGGGGAGGAAGGTGTCGAAGGAGGAGCAGCAGTAGCAGCAGTGGCAACTGTGCCTGGTGGCAGGAGAGACAGTCCTTGGCAGAGTCTTGTCCCTCTTCTTTGCTACCAGAAGTTGCCTTTTCCCTAAGTATTAATGTTTTGTTTGTATGTGTTTATTCATTGAACCCCCTCTCCCTCCTACGTTTACTCCTTTCCCCTTCCAGCAGGTCAAAAAGCAAAATGATATAGTAGAAAAAAACCAATTGTTTTGTATATAGATGTATGTATGTGTGTATGTTTATCCCTAAACACACACACATATATACATGTATATATAAAAAAAGGGGCAAAAGAAAACAAAAAGGTGGTGGGGAGGAAAAAAAAAAAAAAGGTAAGAAAATCCCGTGATGAAGCTCCCCAATGTTGTCTTGGTTCAATGCTTAGTTTTGAGTTGCTCCCGGCTGGTTTCTGATGAGAACGCGCTCTGGATTCCTGGAACACTGCGCTCCCGCTACACCCGTCTCCTTCCCCGCACCCTCCCTCTCCGGGCTGCGTTCACCTGCGCGGACAGAAGTTGCCAAGGGTAAAGGTTTCACTCCAACAAATTGCAACCTCCTTTGAGCCCAAACTCTGCAATCCCATAACTGAGCAGATCTCTCTTGTGGAGCACCAAAAAAGAAAAAGAGAGGGGGGAAAAAAAACCAGGCGTGCATTGGGGAGGTGTTTGGGGAGAAGTGGGGGAGAAACCCACTTCCTGAAGGGAGAGGGGAGGCTGGGAACCTCAAACAGGACTGGTCCTTGGACAGTCTACATCGGTTGCCTTCCGTCAACAAGTGTCCGCAGAGCACAGAAGGTGAAGCCGTGGCTGACATGTTAACTTTTCGGGATAATTCCTGGTAGCAGAGCGGAAACAAGTGGTGTCGTCAGAAACACAGAGAGAGCATGAACAGAACAAGAAACAAAACAAAAGGAAACAAAAAAAGAATAATAAAAAAAACCCAAAAAATCAGGAAGGAGGAAAAAAAGCAAAACATTCAAAAAAAGGGAGGAAAAAAAAAACCAATCGAAAAAAAACCACAACCCAAGATCTGGTGAACTGGGTTTGTCATCTGTGCTACCTTTTCTTTTCTTTCTTTTCTTTTCATTCTTTCATTCGTTTGTTTTTGTGTTTGTTTCTGAGATATATATTATATATCATATATAAATATATATATGTATATATATACAGTCATTCCTTCATACAAAATTTGTCTATAGACAGTTTTGTACTGTTGTGGCAAGGTATATACAGGGAGGGTGAATTCTATACCACCTTTGAGGGAAGAAAGTTGTTTTTTTTCTTTTTTTTTCCTTTTTTTTTTCCTAAGTTATTTAATTTTTTTTTTTAATGTGTTTATTTAAGGTTGGTCTTGTAGGCCGACTGATGAGACCATCTTTGCCTTGTCTTTGCCAGCAGGGTACTTATTGTCTCCTCTAGACCCATAGTCATTAGAACCGGAATCGCTCCGCTTGCTGTTTGCGCTATGCTTGGTTGGCGTGCCGGGGGGATGGCTCACCTGCCCGTTCTTCTCGTCTGAAAAAAGTTGTTTAATTACGTCAAAGAAGTTACTCAATGGGCTGCCTGGGTACACAAAACAGAGGAGACAAAAAAAGAAAGAAAGAAAGAAAGGAAGAAAGAAAGAAAGAAGGAAAAAAAAAACAGAGGAGAGAAAAAGAGGAGAGAAAGAGAGAGAACAAACAAACAAATGAACAATGGGGTTTTTAACGAGAAGAACATGATGAGGAGATCCAGAGCCACGTGCGTGGGGGTGTGTGGGGGATGAAGACAATGAGCAGGAAGAGGAAGAGTGTTTAGGATGGGACACCTACAGAAATAAAGAGTCTGGGAGCATAAAGCACCTAGGGGGAAGGTCCTAGTTTTTTCCTGAGTGGGGAAGCATTGCTGTCTCACCTACACAGTACAGTGTAACTGAATAGTTCAGTCCATTACTTGGAGTCACTTGGCCACTCCACACAAAAATGTCAGTGAATGTAATGCTGGAAACAGGCAAATCCCATCCTACTGCTGCTGTTACAAACACAGGGTATTTGCATGTGCCCACCAGCTGATGCTTTGCTTTGCAGCCTCGCTAAGCTCCCTGGCTGCACCAGGCATTAGCCTCTCTTTGCTTGCACTTTATTTCATTCTGAGTATCTCCTTGCCAACCTGTCATCGCTAAGTCTGAAGCACCTGAGTGGTCCAAGGGAAACAGCATTTGAAAGTGAGCTACAGCTGACACAAGTGCTGCCATCTGGATGTGTGGTCTGTGGTTTGTACTTGCAGGTTTCTAAGCACCTTCAGATCCTCCCTAAACAGGTACCTGGAAATAAAAATTCTGGATGCATTGTGGAAACAGGCTGTTATGCATTTAACTATTTCTAGGACCTAGCAGAGTCAAGAACTATTACCTCATTGTCCTGAATTTATGCTCCCTCTACAGTACAGCCTCTGTGACACTGACCTGCGCCCCGGTGGAGTTAGGAGCCAGAGAGGGGTGTAGGGTTGTGTGCTAGCAGAACAGGTATCTCCAGCCCCTAGATCGGGTTGCAGTATTAACAAGGGTTGGGCACTGGGCACATGAATACAACCTTTCATGGCATTTGGACCTCCAGGCAGCAGGGTTATATGCTGTTGATCTAGTTCTGTGTCAGAGCATGTGTGGAAGGCAATACTTGAGGAAAGGCTCTGGGGTGCTACAGAGGGAAAGGAACCAGCTACTACAGGAAAAGTAGCCTTATTGGGGAATTTCTAGTCCCTCTTAATTTTCTTGGACTAGGGGATTAATCCTTATCAAACATAGGAGGGGGTCACACTAAACTCATTGAACATGGATATTGAGGGTATTTTTATCTAACATACACCATGGAGGTGACGCCTGTTTGTTCGTTATCATCATCATGATGATGCTTTTCTCAATACTGTAGGCTCTACTGTTCTATCAAATTTAAACCATTTATATCTCCATCTCCCAGAAGGAAACAGGCTCCTTGTATCTGCCTTCCAATGCAATAGTATGCTGTGAAGAGTGGAACCTTTTGTCCCCAAGATGGGAACACTCAGTCAGGAGCAAAGAGCAAATCTCCTCATAGCAGAGACTGCCATGTATCCATAGTTGGCAGACACTGGTGGCTTGGTAATATTTAATTTCCCTTCATTTTCATTACAAACATAAGCAAACCAGTAACTACAGCAGGCAACTACTTTCTGTGCATGGTAACTCGTCTGAAGAGCTTGTTGAGTGCTTTCTTATTCTGTAATAGGAAATGCTAGACAGACATCAACTGTTCTTACACAAAGAAAGAGCATTTGTGCTCTGCAAACCCGAATATGTTACTCTTTTCTTTTCCAGCCCCATGCTAACCAGGTAGTTGCTGCTTTCCTCTGCATGTTATCAGGCATTGAGACAAATCAGATGGCTGGGATATACAGTGGAGGGTCTTAATCTTATTAATCTAGTTCATTCCTTGTCCTCCTCTACTTGCTGCTTTGTGCTAACTTTCTGCTTGTTTTGGTTGTGTCTGTCATTCAGTTACATTAACACCACAAGCAACTGTCTGTGAGTTTCTGGGAGGGCATCATTCACCTGAAGCCTTAGTGTTGGGCACAAACAAATAGCCAGGCAAAGCACATATCTCAGTGTCTGTCTACGAAGGGAAGGACTATCAAACTCTCAGTCACTTTGGGGTCAGACAGACCTCCATGAGCTCCACCTGCTTCCTTCTACATGCATGCAAATGTTCTGGAAAGGGGATATATGTTCTACATCTATGACTTCTATTTCAGAGATTTCCCTAAGCCTTCCTAAAACTGTTTTAGGTTTGTGGGCACATGCTCTGCTCAGACTCATTTCTATCTGCTCAGACTAATTTCTACCTACTCAGACTGATATCTATTACTTTCAGGTGGAAAGCAAACACTCAGCCTTGAATGCAGGAATGTGGGAAGATCTAGTTTTTAGGTGGCTTTGGACCCCTCATCTTCATAAGCAAATGGAGTCAGCAGAGAGAATGAAAAAGAGCACTGAAAAAAATGCTGAAGAGGAAAAGACTGCTAGGTTGGGAGAAAAGAGTAGGGAAATATCTCTAGTTATTCAGCTGAGCAGTTTATTCAACAAGCTTAGAGGAAAGATGAGGGCAGAGTAAGCAGGGCTCTGCAGGAATCAGGGAAGCTTTTTGTTTTCACATAGACAGGAACAATGACAAAAGTACAACTTGCAAGAATGGAGCAATAAAACACTTTAGAAATTATATATCTTGCATTTTCTGGGTCCTGATACAGGATTTTCAGTCATCCTGCTAAAATATGCAGCCCCTGCTCCATCCACCCTTTCTCCTCCCCGTGCCCTACCGACTTTCAAGTGCCTGGAGATTTATTGCAGCAAAAGTATTTAACAGTCTGCTTTTCTTTGCCTGTATCACCACTGGATTCCTTACAATCAGCATTTTCAGTTAAAATTTTAATGGGAGGTAAGAAATCCTTAGGGATGCTTGAAGAGAGCTACTGAAAAGTAAAATAGGACATTTCACTAACCCTTTCCTTCCTTTGCCTTTTGCACTTGTAATTAAATAGTTGGTAATAATGCTCTGCTATCCTGCAGACAAGAAAGACCTGAGCCTACACCAAGTAATACAGTCACTGCCTTGATGTTGTCTGTGTGACAGCTTGTTAGCCCACTCTTGGGCTGGTCTAGACGTTGTTCTTTGGACAGACAAGGAGTCCTCACATTTTTCTCTGGAGATAAGTAAGCATAGGTCAGCTATGCTGGAAGCATGAAAATGGTGCATGGTGTTGCTCCTCTTAGTTCTCAGTTCCCTTTGGGGTTATACATCCAGTAAAACAAGACGTGAAAATGCAGGTGATGATGGATTAGAACAGCTTTTTCAACGATCTTCCGCTCCAAGTATCCGGTGCAAAATGTGTCATAGGCTCTTACACCCGTAGGTCTATCTGGGGGCCTCAAAAAGGCTGCCTTTCTTATTTCAGAATGTGGGATGACACCCCATTTCCTCTGGACAGGAATGAAGGTTTGGCTCACTGATTCTTCAGAGCATTCCTGGTGTTTCATGCATCTGTAACTAAGGTCTTCTTTCCCCTTGAGAGCAAATGTTCATCAACACAGAGCAAAGAAGGTGTGAAGGGTAGCAAGGGTGAGAAACCGTGAGAAGGATCAGAGGCAGGAGGGGAGGTTCAGAGCATTAGATTTACATCTGTTAGGAGGAGATGGATATGTGCATTTTTTGAGTTAGACCAAGAAGCTGTATGCTGCAAGATGGGGAAGGGGAATGGGTTTGAAAACGAGCACTGAAGCTTATGAAAGGGTCATGTATTGAAGCGGTGCTAGAGAAATATATTTATGGAGAAGGCACTGGTTTGTGGCACCTGTGTGCAGCACTGTCATGGCAAATATCATGGAAGAAGTCAAAACTGTGAATTCACTTGAATACAACAAGCACTTAAAGGAAGAAACAGGGCTGGAGACAGACATAAAAATGTAAAAGGAAGCTGGGCAGGTGGTTTGTATCATCCCTCACAGTCCTCGGTATTATATCTGCTGTTCTTAGGAAGTGGTGCCACCAGTTTGAGAAGCCAAGTGGAAGTGGAGCACCCAGGTAAGAGAGGAAAGAGAAAATGAGGTGAATCACTCCATGCACCACAACTGACACCAGGAAAGGATGCACCTTGCAAAGACCCTCACAGTCCTCCACAGAACATAACAGGAGGTGATGAACAAGCAGCTTCAGGACAAGCCTGGAGGCTTCAGTTACTGATTAGAGCCTGCTGTTTTGAAACATTTTAAGACACTCTGATAAGGACTTGGTCCTCTTTTCATTGAAGCAAATAGCAACATTCCCATTGACTTAAGGGAAGCAAACCCTGAGGCACTTCCTTCTCCTGTGAAACCATCTCTCTCAAGTCTATGTATTTTTAATGCACTAATCCTTGTTGTGCTGAACACAAAGCTGCACAAAACAAATATGCCATCTGTGGGATTATCCTCTGCCCTTCTTTTCTGTATAGCCTGAGAAATTTTGGGTTTCTGCATTTTTAGCTTGGGCTTTGGCAGAAAATGAATTAGAAAATGTCAGTCTCCACTTGAAACAGACACCTTTTGTCAACCGGATTTCCCTATTCCTTCCCTTGTTGCTTTCATATCCTTTCTGAACTGTTTTCTGCCTGCCTCTGCTACTGAGGTTCTCTTCCTATACTAATTCCTTACTCTTTACCCCTTGTCTTTTTCATCCTTGGGTTGCTCTGTGTTTTGAGAGCAGCTGTGGTTTCAATGAATCATGTAACAAAAATGCAACTCTTTTCACATAAAGTATTAAAATACTCTCTTAATGGGTGATAATCCATTCCCTTTCAAACCCATTTTGCTACTTTGACAGAGTTCTACCCCTCTTTGTTAAGACTAGGCATTTTTTGCCCGTTCACTTGGTTTCTGTTGGCAGAGTCCCTTCTGCCTTAAAAAAAAATGACTTAAGATACAGAACCCACTCCAAGAGTATGTGCAGTGAAAGGGTTGACAGAAAGAT